TCTAGCCTGTCCCATAGTTGTTCCCTTGGGAAAAAGAAAAAAAAAGAAAAAGAAAAAATTAATTAAGAAGGTATTTTATGTAGGAGTGTTCTTTTAATTTATTTTGTGATACCAGTTTCAGTCACTGTAGAGAAGCCCCATTATGAATTTAAATACTGAGAAAAGAGTTGTTTGTGTGTGTGTGTGTGTGTGTGTAGTAAGACGGGACAGTTTTTGGTTTTTTGTTTTTTTTCCAAACATTTATCTACCTCACTCTTATTTTGTATATGTGTATATATAAAAAGGATACATCTCACATCTCTCAGCACCTGACAATATGCCGTTGATACTGGTGACCTCGTCCACACCACAGCCGCACACACCAGGTGGCGCAGGAGAGGCCAGGCTGTATTCCAGGCTCAGAGCGACACTAGCTCCCCCTGCCCCGACCCGTTCCCAACAGCTCCCCGTTTCTGCGACGTCTCAACTTGCGTCGCTTCTGTCCTTCTCTGACTTGGTTTCCCAAGAGGCGGGGAGGGCCCAGGCTGCTGGGCTCTGCGACCACCGACCTCGTGTGCAGGCTTCCCGCGCACCAGGTGGGGAAGCGTCTCCGGGAGCCCCTGTCGCCCCTGCAGTCACCTGCAGGTGTGGGGGCTCGGCTCCCGCTGACTCAGCCCCAGGCTGGCCCGATGGCCAGTCCCACGTAGAATGTACGGAGAAGGACCCCCTCCTCCTCCCCTCCAGACTGTGCTCTCAACCTCACCCTCACCTCCTCCCCAGGGGAAGACAAAGACGAACCAAACCCCCGGGCTGGAGGGGGCCAGCGGCGGGCCGAGCCCCCGTCCCTCTCCCGCTGGCTGCTGCTCTCACAGGCACTGGCATCTTTTCTGGGAAACGCGGTGGGGTCCTCCCCCAGTGTGGCGGGCTCCTCCACAGCCCCAGGACTGCAGTTAAGCTCAGGAGCTTCCTCCCTCCTGCTAGAACACTCCTCGCCCCTCCCACGTCTCCTGGGACCGTAAGGGCACTGAGAAAGTGTTTGATCAGGGTTTCCCGCTGCCACACTGCAGGTGACCCCTAGGAATAGTGGCCTCTCCTTGCTTTTGCACACCCCTCCCGGTTTCCACAACTGGATTTCTACAGTTCATTCAGCTGGTTATAAGGGTTTTGTTGAAACTGTCCGAGTTGTTGGTGTCACTTCATTTTTGTTCTATGTAGGTGGTTTTCCTTTGAGTAGAACGAAAACACTAACAGTGTAGTGCCCATCATAACGAATGCTTCAGAAACACTTAAATAAAAGAGAGAATTCTGCTTGCGTGACGGTGCAGTCATTTACTGGACCAGACCACCCACCATGACTCTACCAAGGCATCAGCTCTCCACAGTCCTGGCCTAGTTTTGTGCTGATTTCCCCACCTCTTCTTGGTTTCCTCCTCTGTATGCTCCACACAATTTACTCGAGCTGAGTGCGGCGCTCTCCACGCAGCCCTCTTCTGACAGCAGCTCCCACTGCTTGAAGTGACGTGAACCACTGAGGCACATCACTGAACTGACGTGAGCATCAAAACGTACCAGACACAGCCCTGCCCCAGGGCAGCAGGCCTGCTGCCTTCTGGACACGCTGTGGCACTTGCGCTGGGTGAGACCCAGACCACCCCAGGTGTCCTGCACGGGATGTCCTGCTGTTTGACACAGCTGGAATGAGCTTCCTCCTTGGAAGCGAGAAGACCGTGTTCGTGGCTGGATAGTGGCCTCTCCTTCCAGCCTGTTTCTTAGGACTCGGGACATTTCAATGGTAGAAATGTGGTTTTTGTGGAACTACCCGATGCTGAAATGCTTGGCGTGAAGTGGTGCTTTTCGGTTGGGATGAGAGATGTACAAGCCAAGTTTGATGCCAGATTCTAGGCCAGTGTGTTCCACCCAAGCCTCTTTCTCAGCAGCCTGCCTCCGCCGGCAGGTGGCCAAACAGGATGCAGGCGGCCGGTACGGCAAGGTCGCACTAGCTCACATCAGTGAGAAGGCTAAGATGCTTGGTCCAAGGTCCTCAGCTGTCACTGTTGGGTCCTCTGGCCAGACAGTGTCCAAGGCAACTCCTTTCCAAAACACAGGCACCCTCCAGTTGGCTGTAAAGCTCTATGGTATGCCTCGGCCCATTCCGGCAGTCCCAGTAATGCATTTAAGGTTTGGGGTTTGTTCTTTTGTTAATGTTACTTTTGTTAGTCGGCTTTTTATTTCCTGGGCTAAGCGGTGTTGGGAGATATGGACCAGAGATCCACTCTTTGAGAACCAGTGATGAAAATCAAACTGTCTTACTCCACTCTGACATAGCTGGTGGTACAGACGAGAACAAGAGACGATGCTGTTTAGATTGAACCTCTGTTGCCAGAGATGCTGAAGATACAGACCTGGGACAGGCCAGAGGGTTTCACTTTTGGCTTCCAGCTTAGATGACTGGCTGAGGAAAGCATTTAGAGGAAAAGCAGATGAACACCCCTTGATGATGAAGTGACGAGGCAGGGGGAAACCCCTGTAGCAGGGATCGTGAAAGACACGGAGAGGAGTCACGAGCAGAAGGTTCAGGGCTCGGAAGAAGTGTGGGCTGTGTTTGGAACTGGATGGTTTCTGAAGGCTCAACAGTCACCCGTGGGCATTTGGTTTCAACCAATCAGCCTAATATCCTACTGTGGAAACTGTGACTGCCGAGCTCAGTCAGATTGTTCAAGAACACAAACTGCACCGCAGACGTCGGGTGTCGGTTCTGGGGCATGACTTTAGGGCTTTGTTGTATTTCGTTTATGCGAGAACGTATCGCTCACGCATCTGTGTGTCCCCGTTTGTGTGTGTCCGCATCTTTCTGGTAAACATCATTTTAGTCACTCATTAGCGTTTTCAATAGGGCTTTTAAGTCCAGTAGATTACGGGTAGTCAGTTGACGAAGATCTGGTTTACAAGAACTAATTAAATGTTTCATTGCATTTTTGTAAGAACATAGAATAATTTTATAAAATGTTTGTAGTTTATAATTGCCGAAAATAATTTAAAGACACTTTTTTTCCTCTGTGTGTGCAAATGTGTTTGTGATCCATTTTTTTAGGACACTCGTTTACTAGCTAGCTTTACAATATGCCAAAAAAGGATTTTTCCCTGACCCAAGCCGTGGTTCCCCCTCTTCCCCGCCATGCTTTGTGCCCTAGTTTATAACAAAGGAATGATGGTGATTTAAGAAGTAGTTCTGTATCTTCAGTATCTTGGTCTTCCAGAACCCTCTGGTTGGGAAGGGGATCATCTTTTACTGGTCATTTCCCTTTGGAGTGTAGCTACTTTAACAGACTGAAAGAACCTCATTGGCCAAGGAAACAGCAGAGGTGTTGCAGCCCGCGGTGTCCATGGCACCATCAGCATCTGGCTTGGCTGGGCTGGCAGTTGTGCTGTTAGACGCAATGCCTTGGGATGGAGGGACACCACTGCCCAGCTGATGGTTTGCACAGTGATCACAGCCTACAGACTTATCACACAAATGATGATCATTCTGGTGCACGCAGGCCATTTGCTTACATGCCTCATATAATTAACACTTTGTAATAACAGGAAGAGACCCTATTTATTTTTATTTAAGGCAGAACACCAATGATCGATTTTTTCAATTCCAAACATATTCTTTTTAATAAAAACTATACACATGCAAGCTTTTTTTTTTTTTTGTAAGTTTGACTCCATTCCTTCTGGCTCCCAATGGATTATTGGCTAGGTCTACACAACTCCACAAAATCTCCATCATTGGAAACATCTGGATGTTTTGCATTACATGGGAGAACGGTCCAGAAACGATTTGTGTTTTGTTTGCAACTTTTCATTTGGATGTCTGGCATTGCAGAGACACCGTCGCAGGTGGAACAGATGCTTGGCAAAAACACCTGTCTGTTTTCTAAGCCAGTGAGGTTGAGGTGAGAGGTTTGCCAGAGTTTGTCTACCTCTGGGACAAAAAAAAAAAAAATCAAACCAGAAGGCGCGATGGAATGGATGCATCGCAAATAATGCATTTTCTGAGTTTTCTTGTTTTCAAAAAATGTTTTTAAAAAAAAAAAAGTAAAAAAAAAAGGTAATAACATGGCCAATTTGTTACATAAAATGACTTTCTGTGTATAAATTATTCCTAAAAAAATTCCTCTGTTTATATAAAAAAATCAGTAGATGAAAAAAATTTCAAAATGTTTTTTGTATATTCTGTTGTAAGAATTTATTCCTGTTATTGCGATATACTCTGGATTCTTTACATTATGAAAAAAAAGAAACTTTGTCTATTTTGAATGGCTGAAGCTAAGGCAACTTTAGTTTCTCTTACTCTGCTTTTTTCTAGTAGTTAAAGTACTACATGGTTTAAGTTAAATAAAAGAATTCTGTATGCATTTTTGGTCTTTGATTTTGCCCCTCCCCACCCCTTCTGGAAGACTCACCATGCTTCTGAGGCGGGGAAGCCGAGCTACATGTGGCGTGTGTGTTCACACATGTCACTGGGAGGTGTCGTGTGTGAAGGCTTCGCTTTATTTCTGACAGCTAGATCTCCGCATGCAAATTGCTGGTGAACAGGGAAGCTATTCTGTTTCTCCATTAACTCAGCTAGAAGAAAATTTGAATACATAAAAATATAGAAATCTGTACTTCATTTTTGACTGATCTGTAGACTTTTGCTAGACCTTCCACTGACAAAAGTCAGGCCAAGGCAGGTTTGATCTGGGGGACTCTGGGGCAAAGGACTTCACATTTTCATGTCCTTGCTGGTCCCTCACAGCCAGCCTGCCTACTCAGAGGGCACCAGTGAGGGCCACAGAGGCACCCGGGGATGCAGGTCGCCTGCGGGGAAGAATGTCACTCTCCAGCCAATGAGCATGGCCCGCCCCAGGGACTCTCCAATCTGGCATCGCCATCATTTGCCATGGGAAATTGTTATGGCAGGAGACGTGAATACATGTTCAAAGGAAACAAACTGTAAATGTTCTAGAATCCAGCCTTACACACATCAGGAGGACAAGCTGATCATTCACTAAACTTTGATCATGGGAAATTATACTCTCGTAACAAAATCAGGTTTCTGGCCAAAGGGCCACAGAGCAAGGAGTGGGCAGTAGAAGCAACAGGCCACACTCACTTAAGACCTCTGAGTCTCACAAATATTTGGAACTAAAAACAAAAGACCTTTCTAAAAGAGGGATTCTCAAGCTTGGCGTTGCCCCAGGGTTTCTGCTTACCACTGTTAGAGTTCATGGCACTCCGGGGACCTCACTAGGTGACCGATGACTAGCGGCAGGCACATTGCCCAGGCTCGGGTGGGTGTCTGGGCCCTGGCCGGGCAGACGCGGGCAGCTGCTGGGATCCCCACACTCCCAGCAGGTGGATGCTGTGCTTCCAGGCAGCAGGGTGCAGTCTGCACCTGTCCTCCGTCAGAGGAGCGGTGATTTCTTCTGAGGATGAGGGTGCTGGGTCCTCGTAAGTGGGAGACCCTCTCCTCACCACGCCATTTCCCAAGACCACAATCCAGCAGGGCTGTTTCCATATCTACCCTCACGGGTCCAGCCACGAGCCCACCTTCAGTAAGTGTTCTCTCATCACTGACAGATTTTCACATGCACTCTCTCACCAGATCGTCACAACAACTCTGCAAAGGATGGATTTTTATTACTCTGGTTTGTAGATGAGCAAACATGCAGACATGTCTAAGCTCCCCCAGCTGTTAAATGATCAGCCCAGGGCTCAGCCTTCTGAAGCTGTGTCAGCTTCCAAACTGAAACTCAGAACTGCTACGTATCAGCTGTAACTAAACAGACCAGGGTGTGCACCAGCAGGGGATGGCAGGCCACTTAGACCAGGAAGGGAACGGCCCTCTGGGGTGCTCCCTAAAGAACTTTGATGGCCACAGAAGTGAATGACAGGGACGTTCATCAAGAGGGAGCTCTGGGCCTCCCAACTGTTTGACATCTAAAAGTCTGGTGCCAAGCCATACACATTTTACAATCTGAAATAACACTGGAGCAGGGTCCCAGAGACCCCCTGCTTGCTAGCATCCTGAGACAGGAGCTAAAACGAGGGGGGTCCAGGGCTCTGGGCAGCAGGTGTTTGCCTACAAACACAGAAGGCGCTCCACACTAACAGCCGTGCAGCCGGACCTGTGCTTGCTGGCCAGATCATCCCACCCTACTTGCTGCCTTTGATCTGCTACAGTAGGACTTTGATCTGTTTTATATCAAGTTAGCCAGTTTCATTTGCAAACGAGGTCCTGTGAAGGCTGTTACAAACGCACACGTGTGCTGGAGGGCTGCCGGTAAAACAGGCTAGTTCCTTTGCCCAGTTCCTTTGTTATTAAGGTGCAGATGCTTCTTACAGTGAATGAATCCAGGCACTAAGTGATTTTTTTTTAACAGAATTAAGTGGGAAATGATAGTTGTGAGCACACCAACATAACAAGAAATTTCCCAGAGCTAAACCTCTTCCTCCAAAAAATAATGTTGCTAATGGGATTCCCACTGGAAATCTGCCCCCAGAACACATTGGACAAGTAAAACCTTGTTGTGAGCAGCTTGGCACAAAACCCAGCACAGTGTCATAAAGGTAAAACGGAAGATAAAAAGGGAGATTCTGTTTCTAAAAAGGTAGGGGTAATACTGACTGTTGCAGAGAAGCTAAACCCAGCTCTTGACCTTTGCTTTAGGACCAAACGCTACCTGGGGAATGGGAAGTAGTGCGGCTGCCAGGAAAAGCGCTCCAGCAGCTGATCAAAGCATGCGTGGAATTACCTTCTGATCCAGGAATTCTACTTTTAGGTATATTCACCAAGAAACTAAACCAGGATTCTACAAGATATCTGCACACCAGTGTTCACAGAAGTAGTACTCACAATAACCAAAAGGTGGAAGCAACCCAGTGTCCATCAAAAGATGGATGAATAGACAAAATATGGTCAATACATAGAATGGAATTTACTCAGCCTTAAAGGAAGGAAATTCTGACACCTGTTACAACATGGATGAACCTGGAAGACAGGACGCCAAGTGAAATAAGCCAATCACAAAAGGACAAACATTGTGATTCCATGTATATGAGGTCCCCAGAAGAGTCAGCTTCTGAGATGGAGAGCAGAATAACCCAAGGGCCAGGGGAGGGCAGGGGAGATGCTGTTTAATGGGGGCAGAATTTCAGTTTGGGATGCTGAGAAAGTTCTGGAGATGGACGGTGGTGACAGTTGTACAACAGTGAATGTACATAATGCCACTGAACACTTAAAAATGGTTAAAATGGTATGTTTTATGTGTATTTTAACCACAATTTTTTAGTAAAGTAAAGAAAAAAAACCCCAAACACTAGAGACTCAGTGGCTCACTGCCCAGAGCACCCGGGCACACCAGTATGGAGGCCAGTGTGGGGTGCCCGGGCTGCACCCCCCATCTCCCGTGATCAGCTGGTACAGTCACCCCACCATGCAGGGCTCTGCAGAACAGGTCTGGGGTCTCAGCACCCTGGGCAGGATCACACAGGCCCACTGCATGGACTTTTACGAGGGAAACAAAAAATCACCAGCATTTCATTTTATTGTCAGGAAAACCATAGCTGAAGCTAGTGCATCCCCTGTGAAATGTCTGCCTTTCAGAGTGGTCTTCTTGCTTCTGACAATAAAATAACCCTTTGTGATTTCGTTGGGCTAATTCAGAACTTTTTTCCTCTGTGTAAACTGTTTTACAAGTAAGTTTTTAAAAGCCTCTCAAAGCACAGTTGAACTCTACAAATGGGATTGAAACATTTAATTTTCTCTAAAGCAGCAGTCCCCCTGTCAGTTCCCTTTGGCTGAAATCGCCCAGGCCGAGCTTCCCGTGAACCAGGCCCTGAGCCCGGGCTTTCTCGGTCTCCTCCAGCATTTCCTGGATGATGACTTGCAGGGCTTTTCCCAGCAGGCTGGCCGGGAGCCAACGAGATAATGGAGGGATGTGGATAAGCGCCGCGCACCCATTTCCATGATGCAAAGACAGGTAGTAGGTGTAATCGCAGACATACCTACAACCATACAGAACGCCAAGTTACTCCTTGGACCAGCCTCTAACCTCAGTGAAATGTAAGCCGAAGCAGCAATGCAGCAGCCCCAAAGCATGAGGGAGGATTGCCACCAAGGGAGACCTAGGTTTTGTTTTTCTGCCTCGGAAAGAACATGCTGTTGGGAGTTAGCCGAGGAGAGAATGGCTCTTGGCCTCCTGGTCCCACGACCAGCAAACAGCCGAACCCCAGCAGGGACCAGATTTTCAATCAACTAACCCAAAACTCTTTTCCTCCACGAACCCTTCTCATTGACGTCTGCACTGAGTAATTCTATTGACAGGCCTGCTCCAGGTCTTTGCTCACAACCTGTGAACTCCCACCTTTAGCAGGAGTTAACGTAAATCTTTAAGTTAAAGGGTTCAGAGATAAGAAAACAGATGGAACCAGCTGGGATCAAGATGGTGACAAATCTAACCTCCAACAGACCCTGGGTCTCATCATATGCTGATTTTACTACATTAGCATATTAAATGACACACCTACCAGCATCCATGGCCAGACCCAAGGATCTATAAGGACCAATAAAGGATAAAAAGGGGGTGGCACTCCAATTCCTCAGAAAAAGCCCCGCCCTTTCCCCTGGCAAACTGATGCACATGCCTCCCCATCATTAGCCTCACTCCTCCTCCCTCTGTTTTTACTCTGTAAAATCAAATCCCTCTGGCCAGGTGGGCGAGAAGGTGATCTGTAAACTAAGTTCCACTTCTTCATTCTCTGGCCACTGAATAAAGCTTGTGCTGCATAGATCTCAGCTTCCCTTTCCTTATTCTCCTACTCCAAGGCGAACAGAAAAGAACCCTCCCCTCAGAGGCAGTGAGCCTCCACCAGGCTACTGCCAGAGCAGGGTCCATAGGTCTCAATTCAGTAAGTTTTCTCATTCATTCTTTGGAGGGAGGAGAAACTGCCTCCTGAGGGTCAGAGTTTGGAGAAATAGAGGTAAATTAACCTTTACTGCGGGCTAAGTCAGAACAGTCAACTCACAACTTCAGCGGCGATAAATAAAGCTAAAGCACCCACAAAACGTTGGTGGCTCTCAACACCTGCATTCACACCCCTTCTCCTCTGCCAGCCACCAAAGGCAGGTGAGAGGGAGGGGGCCTCGGGACCGGGACCTGGGCGGGAGCGAGCAACTGCGACTCCTGCGGGCCCCCTCCCCCAACCAAGCGCCAGGCTGGACAGCACAGGACGGCACATCCCAGGAGAAAGACGGGCCAGCGGCCACCGCAGCCCCTCCTCCTCCCCTCCGTGACCAGGGACAGAACTCACCTGCCCGCATCTCGGGAAAACGCCACCTCCACGCCCTCGACCCTCGCGCGCCGGCTGACAGCCTTCATGCTGACCCCCGAAGCGATCACTTCCGGGCCATCCGGAAGGCACAGGCCGTGCTCCGGCCGGAAGCCCCGGATGTCAGCGTCCCGGTAGCCCCGGTTCTTGCCGCACTGTTCCAGAAAGATGGCCTTGGCGGCGGGGTCCACGCCCACGTGCACGGCGAGCTGTGTGAACACACGTGGAGGCGGGAGATTTGGGAAACTGAGGTCTGCTTTGCTCCCCAGGCGGTGCAGAGGGAGAGTTCTGGGGTGCAAGACACCTCAACCCCCTAAATGTGCCCACACCACCCCCATCCCTGCTTGCTTCCCGTCATATGCTGGAAAGAAAAACATCTGGATAGAAATCCATGTGGCATCTAATTTAAATACCTTTATATTTAAAAATATTCTTCAGGGCAGTGTATTTATTCCCTTTTTTTTCCGTGGAGGTCTAGCTGGTATCTAAGGCTATCCCAGGATATTAGCCTTTCTGGGGAATCTTCCATCTCTTTAAGGAAACGCTGATGAAGTAAGTCAGTAACACTCCAATAAAATATTGCTAGAATTTTTTAAGCCGATTATTTTTCCTCTTTGGAAAAGTAGCTGGTTGTTTTATCAAAACATTTGGGGTGTCGTCCTAACCGTCTTAACCTTTTGGTGGTGTACGTTTTGTTAATCTCATCATCTGGGCTTTGTATCTGGAGGATGTTTGTGTCAGTTTCCTATATAGCAACTCTGGATAAGCTAAGCTGGGAGTGATGACAATGACCCCCTCCAGATGGGCCCCCTTCCCACCTCCCGGTGTGGGCCACTGTCCAACTGCTTTCCCAGGCAGAAGAGGTCCAGGCCGAAGAGGTGCTTGCCTCCTGGCCCACCTCACAACCCCCACCTGCCCTGCATGGGCCTGGCTGGGACATAACTAAGGGCCTCTCTGTTAGGTGGAAACTATCTTTGAGTCCTGGCTGGGAATAAAGCTTCTATTTCTTTTCCTCTTTCTCTCTCTTTCTTCAGAATCTTCTTCCAAGTTCTACTCTGCATTTCGTCTTAAACTTTTACAAATAGACCCGGAATCTTATGAAATGGTCTGGGGATGTGGGGGCAGGGTGCACTTCAGCCATCAATCCTAGAAAAAAAGGCCCAGGAGTTCACAGGCTCTGGGTCTCCACCACATTATCAGCCCCCCTCTTCACTCCCCAGCACCAGCCCCCTGGCCCTACTGCCTCCCCAGCTGTCATTTACTTGTGGTTGAAGATCTTCCCAGATTCTAGTGACCCTCTTCTTCACCTCCTTGTAATCCACTGGCAGCTGAAGAATCCGCAGCTCCACCCCCAGGTCATTCCCCAGGCCCAGCTTGGAAAGCTCCTGTAGAAAGAAGCAGGTGGACTCACCCTGATGGAGGGCCAAGGGGAGTCCCTGAAAACCCAATACCTGGGGCCATCCAGTCCATTCCCAGGGGCCCTCTGTGGGCCTGGACCCTGCCTTCAAGGAGCTCACTCAGTGGCAAGGCGCCAACAGGGGCGGCCATGGTTCCTCCCCCATGCACGAGACCTGACATACCTGCTCCCATCAAGGTGCATGTACCCTAGAGGCATGTCTGACCCAGCCTGCGGGGTAGGATATAGTTCACAGAGGGTACACGGGAGTTCTAAGAGACAGATGGGATTGAGCCAGACGAGGAAGCTGAGGAAGCGCGTGCCAGACAGAGGGAGCTGCAGGGAGCATAAGACCTTGAGGCCTTTGGGAAACGTGCTGTGACCTGCTGTGCTCAGGGAGGCAGAGCCTTCTTCCCTGTGTCCTGCACCTCCAAGGACAGGCTGTTTAGCACCCCTGGGCTCTCATCTGCACATGGACTGCCTATAGCACCCCCAGGCACTTTGATAAGTAGCCTGTGTATCAGGGACCATTGCATGTGGGGGAAGCATGGGGCCAGAAGCTAGAAAAGCCTGTGGAAGCCAGACTGAGTGTTCAGTTAGAGGTTGGACTGTATCCTTGGGGCAACAGGGAGCCACTGAAGGATTGTGCACAAGGAACAAATGGGTCAGAGCCATCTCCTAAGAGGTGGAGGTGGGCTGGGAGCTATCATAGGGTTGATTTTGGACCTGCCCAGTTTGAAGTACTCAAAGGGAGCTGGTCCCTCGGCTCTGTGCGTCTGGAGTTCACAGAGAGGCTTATGAGAAGACAATGGCATGTCAGGACAGCAAAAGCCATGGGTTTAGATAAGACTTGAGAGAGAGAACAAGAGTGCAGGGAGAGGAGGGGGCTGTGGAGAAAACTCAAGGTCAGGATTCCTCCTTTAAAGGGAGAAATGGCAGACAGCTTGGAGGGAAGAAAACCAGGAGGGTGAGATCTTCGGGCTGTGCATTTCACTGTTGGTAAAAGTTAAATCAGGGACCTGAAGGCTGTCTCTAAAAAGGCCAGGTCCCTTCCCTACTCCAGGAGCTGTTCTTGGCACCAAGATGGCTTTGAATCAGTGCCTCTGTTTTTCCTGACTCCCTCCCCTGGCATTTCAGGACATTCAGGAACATGCACCCTTGGCGAGAGAGTGCAGCCAGGGCTGTGAGGTCTGCCCAAAGGTTGCAGTCGGGACAGACCAGGGCCCTGCCCTAGGCTTTGGAGGAGACAGGTGGGGATGACGTGCCCAGATGTGGGTCTGCCTGTGCTGCTCCCATCAAGGTGGAGGGTACTGGGGCCAATTTTTAGAGTCTCAGGTGTGTCCTCAACCAGCTCAGCCTTCCTGAGGGGCTTTGCTTCACCCTCCAGACACCCATTCAGAAGCCCCGGTTCCTCAACCAGCCCAAGCTCTGTTCTCTTCCAAAAGGAAATGCCAAGACTACATCCCCATTGGGGCCTTGAGGGAGAATTCATTTGTCTGACTCTGATGGTGGAGGGAGGAAAGGAGGGCCAGGATATGTGGGGCAGTGGCCTGGAGGACCATGGAGGAAGCAGGCTGGGCTTCCAGGTGGACATCCCCAAAACCAGACAGACCAAGAGGCTCCAGCCTCTTTGGGATGCTTCTAGTAGGGGGTGGGGCTGGAAGGCATCACGCTGGGGTCACCTCAGGCTCTATCACGAGAGTGAGGGGACCTCGGCTTGGCTCAGGGCTGCTTTTCTGTACCCAAACATTTGTGAAGAACTAGTTTCTTCCACTAGGTGAAGTTCTCATGGGTTCTGGCTCTAAGCAAAGCCTGCAGAAGGGCCCCAGAAACCAAATGGAGTTGCCTGAAAAATCTGCTCTCAGGGCTGAATCCCGAAGAGCTGCTCTAGTTGGTTGTCAGTGAGAATACTGATTAATTATGCTCACTAAGCTTCAAAGAAAGCAAAGTCTGAGGGATGGAGACGGCCTGGCAGCCAATCAGCCCGGCAGTGACTGGTGAACACCTCCTCTTCACATAAGAACGCAGGTCTCCGCCTGGGCTGGCAGGGACCTGAAGCCCAGACCCAGGCGGGCCACAGCCTGAGCCCCCTCCACACCACAGCTCTGTCCTTCCCCCTTACCCAGACCAGTTGAGAGAGGAGAGGAGAGAGAAAGAGAGCCTCGGGACATCTTGTGTGTCTTCCAGCCGCTGCGTGGGTTGTGGGGCCGGGTTGGGAGAGCTTCTTGCATGAGTCTTCTGTGGCCGCTATAACAATGTAAGAGACCGGGTGGCTTGGAACAGAAATGCATCGTCTCACAGTCTTGCAGGACAAAAGTCCAAAATCAAGGCGTCATCGGGGTCAACCTCCCTCTGAAACCTGTGGGAGAAGGATGCTCCCTTGCCTCTTCCAGCTTCTAGCAGCCCCCAACAGTCCATGGCTCATGGCAGCATGACTCCAGTCTTCCCCCATCTCTCCATTGTGTGTGTCTGCCTCTGGATCCAGATTCCCTGCTTTATAAGAACACTCAATACATGACACTCTAAAGCTAGGCTTTCCAGGAGGCTGATGGCATCACTTGTGCCAAAGTAGAAAGTGCAGGGAAGCCAAACAGTAGTTGTCCGTAGGCTTTCTAGAGCTATAGGTGTGGGATGGGCACTTGACATTGGACTTAACACTGCTGTGTGTTTTACTTTTCTGAAAGACAATGCAGGAGATTGAAAGGTCCCGCTTCTGCTTATCAGCTGTTCCCTTTCAAGTTTCCAATCTGGTGTTCAAACAGCCTTGACCTTACAGTTACTCCAATTCCTGGTCTGGGGTTGCAATCCACACCCAGCCACCTTGACATTTCAGCACAGGAAGTAAGAATAGGCACTTTAGGTAGAATACAGAGAGATGTCACACCCTGCCTCAGATCAGCGCAGGACACTTTTTGCCATCAAATAGATTAAGGGAAACTTGTAATATTCAGAGATCTGTGGGTGTCAGAATTGCAGATAAGGGACTGTGGACCAGGATAAACTTGAACTTGTTCACATAAGACTGAGGAATTACTCTCCAGCATCCTCCTGGCATATTTTCTTGTGCCCTCTTCCTCTTTCGCTCCCAGTTGTCCTGACAGGGAGAGCCAGCGGCTTGGCAGCTCTGCCCTGTCACCAGCGACAGGGATTCTGCTAAGGTGCAGCCAGCTTCCTCTGGGAAGAGCTGCCCACTGCTGCCCACCCTGCCGGTTCCCCTGGAGCCCTTCATCAGAGGGAGGGACAATTGGAGCCAATAGACATCCCCCACCAAGGACAGAGGGCAGACAGGAGAGAAACTGTAACTTCACAGGCTGCAGGCCTCCAGGCGATTTGGCCAAGCTGCTTGGATGGCTCTGAGATGTTTGCAGCCATCCTGAGGTCACTAGGACATAAGGTCAGCTGTATTGGTTGGGGGGGTGGTCTATGGACTGAAAATGTGCCCCTCCCCTGCAAATTCACTTTTTGAAACCCTAACCCCTGATATGACAGTATTTGAAGATGAAGCCTTTGGTAGGTAATTAGGTTTAGATGAGCTCATGAGGGTGGGGCCCCATGATGAGATTAGTGCCCTTATAAAAAGAGGAAGAGAGATGAGAGCCTTTCTTCCACTGCCATGTGAGGACATAGCCAGAAGGCAGTCATCTGCGAGCCAGGAAGAGAGTTCTCACCAGGAACCAAATCTGCTGGTACCTTGATCTTGGATTTTCCAGCCTCCATAATTGTGAGAAATAAATTGCATGTTGTTTAAGCCATTCAGACAATGGTATTTTGTTATAGCAGCATGAGCTGACTCATACTGGGAAGCTCCCAGTTGATAATGAGATGAGGCCTGATTGGGTTTCAGATACATGCCAGTTCATCCATCCAGCTCATTATAATGCTTGAAAGTGACACAACTCATCTGGGACTAAAGTCAGAATCTGATTTGGGATATTGAGGAGCTTTTTTTCAGTAATCATGGAAACTCCTGTGGACACTCTGCTCCCTCAAGCATGTATTCGCTCTCTAACACACATATATGCTTGGGGTCCTGGGCCATCTACACTGTGACCCATGGAAGACAACGGCATTTTACAAAAAAGAAGCCAAGCTGGTGGTCATCAGCAGCCTGAGCCTGGAATGAAGAGGGCACAGGGCAGAAGGGGCTACATGCAAAGGCCAGATCCCAACTATAGTGCTGCAGGGAAAGGCATGGGCTTTGGGGTCAGAAAGACACAAGTTTGAGACCTGGCTCTGCCACCTTTCACTGGGCGAACTTGGGCATGTTATTTAACCTTGGTGCACCTTGGTTTTTTCATCTGTGCAATGGGGATAATTAAGTCAGAGAAGGGACCCCAATGTTCAGAGCAGCACTATTTACAATAGCTAAGACATGGAAGTCACCTAAATGTCCATTGACAGATGACTGGATAAAGAATATGTGGGCTATATATATATATACACACATACATACATATATGCACACACACTATGGAATACTACTCAGCCATAAAAAGAATGAAATAATGCCATTTACAGCAATATGGATGGACCTAGAGATTATCATACTAAGTGGAGTAAGTCAGAAAGAGAAAGACAAATGCCATATATCACTTCTATGTGGAATCTAAAAGAAAATGACACAAATGAACTTATTTACAAAACAGAGACAGACTCACAGACATAAAAAACAAACTTATGGTTACCAGGGAGGAAAGGGGGTGGGGAGGTATAATTTGGGAGTCTGGGATATGTAGATACTAACTATTATATATAAAATAGATAACAACACGGTCTTACTGTGTAGCACACAGAATTCAATGGCTTGTAATGGTCTATAATGAAAAAGAATATGAAAAGGAACATATATGTATAGCTGAGTTGCTATGCTGTACACCAGAAATTAATACAACATTGTAAGTCAAGTATACTTCAATTAAAAAAATTGGAGGGGTTTTCACGAATATTAAATGAGTCACATATGCTTATAATTAATCCATATTAATTTGA